TTTAAAATCCCTTAATTTTTGTGTCGGTTGAGCAAAGTAACACAGCAATTGACGCGTGTTTGCAAGTTTGATTCACTTAATTCGTTCGTCGTTCGTTCGACGTTAAACATCGTACATCGTACATCGTACGTCGACATCGTTCACGATGGGCACCTCATGACTTTCCCAATTTGCTTCAAGTAGATTAATACAGTTTTATCACTTACCCCGGAGCCTGCGGCTATCTCTGAAGTGCTTTGTGATGGATCCGCTTCCACAATAGCCTTTAATTCCTCATTTTCCACTTTGATCTACGGCCGTCCTCGGGGTTGGTTCTGAAGGTCGAAATTTCCAGCGTTAAAACCAAAAACGTACCGTGCTTTCTTTTGCGACACCAGCGTCGTACACATAATTAATCCTCCGAGCTGTTTCTGCCGCACTGGTGCCACGGTAGAACTCGTACTCGTAAATATACCGATATTTCATATTCTCCATTGTGCGGTATTAAGCATCGCCAAAAAAAAAGTAATGAGGCAAAAACAAATGAATGACTGTATTCCAAACTCAAATGTACTAGCTAAATAAATTTATAAACTTGAATTTGAAATTCTTTACCGAAGAGGAGATATTTCAGATCAAAGTGGCCAGTACAACAAAACGCTATTTTCATATGTAAGAACCCAATATTATGCCTAATTCCTCAAATATAGTCCACAATTTTATAAAAGTTCATTTACCTAACCAGTTAATAAGATTTTAAAAATGACGGCATTTAAAAATTTACTGATGTACATTTCTGGCTGTATTTTCTTCTGAATTCTTTTTAAACATAAGTTTTGTAGAAATCTACAATGTACATAAACCTACTTGTGAGTAAAAATACCAAAGTGGTGACTGAGAAACCAATGTTAAAATAACAAATAGAACTTTGAGTTAAAAGTCCCGACGTGTCATCCGTCATTCCGTCATTATTCCGTCTCTCTAGTGGGTGTCATAAAAGCTACATATAGAGAAAACAAAGATCATCGGCAGTTTTGAAAATGGCGGAATAATCATCTCATTATTACCAGACAAAATCATTAAGACTGTTAACGGGGAACTTAGAAGGTCCTTATCTCACTCTTTCGCCCTCATGGCCATCATACTCTGGAACGACATCCCTCTTGACATTAAAAAAGCTCCCAACAAATTCGTCTTTAAAAATCAAGTCGGTAAGTATGTGATTAAATTGTTGCAAGTTTGAATTAACTCAGCTCTCTTTTTCGTATACATTTCATATTTGTTCTGACATAGATAATATTTATACGAACCTATTGTGTATGTAAGTATGTATACATATTATATATATATATATATATATATATATATATATATATATATATATATATATATATATATAGTATTGTTTATTATATATATTATTATTTTTATCACCTCTATTTGATTATTGCTGCACCGCCTCCATAATGTCTATCTCTGTTTAGCCTAATGGTTGACTGGGAGAGAATGCCCTATGGCATTAAGTCCGCCATATGTACTTTTTTGTGCATGAAAGCATAAATAAATAAATAAATATATAATGGTATATATATTGCACCATTTAGGCTGCCATCACTATTTACATTCAATTAGATGTGTAATTGTTATCGGAAAAATATACAGTAGTTATTTTTTATAAACTTTTTACTTAATAACTTTATTTCACGCGTCAAATAAAGAATTTTATATAAAGGTAACAAACGTGCACACATTCCACAATCTAAATGTAGATACTTTGTCACCCTTGAGGACTAATATATAATGCCTCGTTATCAGTAAAATAGTGCGCGGCGGTGAAGGAAAACATTGTGAGGAAACCTGCATGTCTGAGAAGTAAGTAAATAAGTATGAAAGTGTAAAAATAATTATTAAATATTTCGATACATAATAGACAGTCATAAATGTCTGTAAGTAGATGTTAATAAACTTAAGCTTTTGAATTTTTAATGAACAGTTGCATATTTTTTTAATCTGAATCACATTTTGAATTTATTTCGAATAAAGTGAAACTATAAACTATAATAAAAATAATTAATCACCATTTCTTTTTGTTATTAAAAGTAGAAATTAATAAACCCATAAAAGTAGAATTTAATAAACCCACAATAAATAGCTAATGAATGAGGTCATACTTGAAAATAAATAGGCAGTTAGAATAGTGCTTAAGTGAACAAAACCTAATTATTTCATCGTGATCAGGTTTTCTAATGATGCTTTAGAAAAGCGTGTGGCTTACTACTAACTAAACGATCACTTACGAGTTTATGATAATTAATATTTTTAATATAAAAATTACGTTAAAGCATAAATCGATAAACATTATATCGATAAAATTATTCGGGGATAGACATTTACAGAACTAGTGTAATTCTCTATTTTTTATTTTTTTCTATGTCTTCTGTCTAGCTTTATTTTTATATACTGTGTGTAGTTGTTCAAAAAATTAATTTCATGTCTTGATGATGGTAGAGTAGTTTGGCGCCCTTTCATACATTTCCTTTTACTAAGGGAGTCCCGCATCTTAAACGTAGTGATTAAAATCTATTTGTTACGCATATGCCATGAAAAGTGTATTTTGTGTGAATTGCGGCTCTACTGGTGGTTTTATGTTATTGCGAGATGTTACTAAAGTTGTTAAATGTTACAAGATATTGTTTTTCAGTGTCTTAAAAATCATACCAAATGATAAAAACCATAATAGTGGTAGTTCCATTATAACCTCAAAATCTGATACTTTTTTTGAAATATATCTTTTCTGCAGCTAGTCCGCTATGAAAATAAGATCATATAGAAATTTCCTAATGATCGACAATACAACACACAATTTTCCGATGCTTTTGGTTCCGGGGCGAAGAATGTATGGGCGCTGAGCAATGTCCTTTGAATTTGGAATTCTTAACCAAAGTGGTCAGTACGACAAAACGCTAATTTCATATGTAAGGACCCAATAAATAAACTCATTATTATTGTTATTATAAATTGATATAATTACAACCGTTCAACAACAAGCGTTTCTAGAACAATAAAACATGCCGTTTCATAACCCCGGTTAAATACTTAAAAAAAAAAACAAAAAAAAATTATAGAAAGTCGAAGACAAATTATACTTCTTAAGTGGAAACGAATTATGAATAATACCAAAACTCGTCACGTTAAAAAAATCAATTTACTTTACAACTACTTTTATTAACTTTTGGCGACAAAATTTGACAGCGGTTTATAACGAGTATATTTGCTCATAGCTTCAATAAGTATAACCCATTACAATATTAGATTTAATATATAAGATTGTATGTTTGTTTGTTCATATTTTATGTGCTGCCATACTATTCATCGATTTGCGCTAAAATTTGTGAACTTATTGCTGGTACTTGAGCGAAGGTCCTAGGCATAGTACAATTAAATTACAGTAGGTCGTGCGCGTATCGTACCGAAGTTATATATCTTTCAATTACAATAAATATGTTATCATTCCTAATTAAACAATATATAACCAATTTGAATTTATTATATAACTAGTATTTTATAAAAAAATGTATACAATTATGTACACTTTTTACTAAGCTGAGACTGTGTAGTGGCACTAACTGGATGTGTTCTCACTTATATGGTATATCGTGAATGCTTGGATCTTTTGTTAGAAGTTTGAAACAAAGCAACAAGTTTCGATTATTAACATCCCATGTTAAGGATGTTGTAATTTTTCTGAAATACAATCTGTCTTAAGCGATTTAATATTCTGAGTTCAAAATTTATGCTTTTTTAAAGATTTTTAATGAAAATGGAGGATAATAGTGTTCCTTGTGATGAATTGAAGTGTGTTAAAGTGATAATCGGAGAGGAAATCTTTAAACTTTGTTGAGATAATACAAGAAGAGTGTATTTCAGACTTATCAATTATCGAAATTAAAAACAGTTATTGGTACAATTAAAACGTTCACCAACATTTTACGTGGACGTAATTAAATCTTTCCATAAGAAAGCGAGACGATTCCACTTATCTTATCTTATCTCTTATCCATTAGAATGTAAATAATTTTTTTTTTTTTAATTTGGTACATAGTTTGTTTGTACTTTGTTCGTGTTTTACTTTTGTTCATGTATTGTATTGGTTGTAAATATTTTTTTTTCTTTCGCTTAAACAAACCCAAACGGCTTTCTACAAAGCCACCGAAGCTATGCAATTGCTGATATGTAATAAAATCTATCTGGCAGTGGTATGCCTTTTTGTGTGCTTTGTTAAACACGTCCTTGACAGCACTGAATGTGAAACTGAAGCGTGGAGACCGATCAAGATTGGTGTATTTTTATAAAACTGCTAAAAACAACAATCTATATTTTTATCAATTTATATCTTGGGCTTACCCTAGCTTGGAGCTCTAGCTTCGCCACTGCCGATAAGCTGGTAGCATGATCCAGTATTTCGTCTGGGGGCATATACTCACCAACACCACCACCATTCTGCAAATTAATAATGATGAAATTGATAAAAAATATAAATAAAACGGACAGTCATTTAATTGTACTTATATTAAAAAAAATAAACAATGAAACTCATTTTCAAGCAGTTCATTCTTATTTTGGTGTAACGTTTACGTGCATTCTTTTTTAAATTTTGTCATTTCAGCTAAAACTGTTGTGGTATCCGACGACAACTTGTTGCCATAGCATTAAACTACTCGGCTATTAGTACCCATTCTTCGCCTTTCACTTTATTTCTGGTAGCGTTTGTGACTTTTACTGTCTGTGGGCCACAGTATCCACTTACCGGAAGTTGGACGGTGTACTCTTTAGTCCTCCTTATTCTATAAAAATACAAATGATCGAACCGAAGCAATGAAACTTAATAATGGCAGTTTTTTTGATCAACGCGCTGACGCTTCAGACGCTACTGACCGGCGGCGTTCCGTTGTGTAATTGTTCTTTAACTATTATAGATTTACATTGATATAAATAAAAATAAAATATTTTTATAATTTTAGGCAAAAAAATATAATAATTACATAACATGTTGTAATAAATTTAAAATGAAATTTGATGTTGTTATGGAGCAATAGTCGTTATGCATAAAACGAAACAGTTGAGATGAATCGGACATGTGTTTGGATTGACTGCAATCGCCGCAAAAAAAAAAAGATAATAAGAGTAATTTTGTAGAGATTTGGATTTAGATCGATCTTTTTATAGGGTACAATCTCGAATTGTCTTTAATCTTAAAAAAGAGATACGTTATTAATTTCTGGCGATATGGGTGGTGGATGTCCTCTTAGACATAAATGGAGCACTGCCACACAAAAGTGCATACTAAGGTCCGTAACTATCAAGTAAGTTATACAATATAAAATACGTAGGTAGTTTAAATATTGCAAAAACTCGATGACTATTTTTCTAAAAGGTGAAAGTATTCTTTCTATGTTTTCACTACAGCTTGTATGACAAAGACGTGTCAGGCAATAAATCTTCCATTGTTGAAGACAACAATAGATGCCACTCTTTGTTGTAAGTGCTTCATTTAAACTATGCCAAAGCAAAAGGCGGTGTTTTGGTGCCGAAGTCAAGTGAACTCTTCAGCTTTTAATGTACGTTTGCACAAACTTATGATTAGTTTATTTAATGAGCGAAAATTAATGTAGTCTCTTATTTTAATAAGTTGTGATATAGCGTGAGAGAAATGTTTTGAGTGCTCTGAGGAATTGTTCGAATTAATCCCAGACGCCAAATTTTGTGAACGCACTACGCGGCAAACGTCCAGATACCATCCACACCATCTGGATGCTTGGCGGTCCACCACTGTACGTTTCACAAGGAGTTTTCTTCCGCGTACGACCTCTCTGTGGAATAATTTACCACCGGCGATTTTTCCGGACCGATACAACCTGGGGACCTTCAAGAAAAGAGTTTACTCCTTTCTAAAGGGCCGGCAACGCTTTTGCAATTCCCCTGGTGTTGTGATTGATCATGGGCGGCGGTAGTCACTTAAAATCAGTTGAGCCTCATGCTTGTTTGCCCCCTCTTATATATATATATATATATATATATATATATATATATATATATATAGTAACGTCCCCATTTAGTACAGTAAGTATCGTGGTAGGATACTTTAGGAGCCATAGAAAACTTACGGCTTGCGATAGATGGCAGTATAACTGTCTCATTTACTCCAGACGTAAAAGATCTAGACTGGCGATAGGCAACAGCGTCCAAGAGAGATATCTGGTAATGCGATCGTCAATTCATCTCCCAATGGTAACGATAACAGCAAATCATCGATATAACGGCGGAGGGCCACATATAGCTGTAAACCTTTACGAGCTTATAAAGGCTTAAAAAATAAACAGCGGTAATATTTAAATGTGAATAAATAAATAATTATTAATATTTTTTTTTATTTTGATCTGTCAGATCCACCGTATTATAAAAGTGTATATCCGTGCAGTTGTTACTTTACGTACGTAAACCTCCGACACGTACTTGTTGTTATTGTGCATTCGTTATTTTATGAATGACAAGTCATTAATTAATGAGTTTTCAATCATTTATTACAGCCTGTCGAAAGCTCACTGCCGGCATTCAAAGGAGGTATTTACCGTAGAGACCACCCATGGCAGTCGTGTTGGCATCCTTGGCTTTGAACTATTGTTAAAACCTGAGGATATATCTTTCTTTGGAAGAAGATAGTGCTCCCCCGTCCTCTAGTTTATTTTCCTCTGTTTACTCTTACGACACCCACAAGAGATGATGAAGTAGTAGATTTACTTACACCGCGTTAAATGGCATGTAACACACTCAAAGTCACTTAAAGAATATTTTCATTACGATTACATTAATACATAGACATTAACACCTCTAACCCAGAGAGGTAGGCATAGACAACGGATTTCGATTTAGCACAATCCCGAAATACCTTTCCTTCCGTCTATATGTCCAATATACCTACTCATTCATGCTTGAGCATGTAGGATTATATAACATGTAAAAAAACATTTTTGTCAAACGTAAAGTACGTTTTAGAGGGGAACAAGTAAAAGCCTATGCTACGTTTTACCATTATTTCATATCTTTAAATGTCATTTCCATTTAACTGACAAAGAGTTTTGTTCTTATTTAATTTATTGTAATTTCACGCAGCTTTTTGAATGGCAGAAGCTTCCACAATAGACTGACAGCAATATAACATTGTAGGCTTCATTTGGATTTGGGTGGATTAGTAAGCGAATGTATTATAAACATAATTTGAGGCAGCGACACAGATGTACGTAGTCAGTTAGTCGGATAATTTTTTTAAGTAAGCACGTTTTAATATTAATAATAATAAGCCATACGGAAGTGGCGATCCCTTCGCCCGCTGACGTAACAGTTATGTCACAGAATAAATAATAGTATTACGTACAGAAGTTTCACTCTTTTGATGTTGAATGCTTTCCGACGTTTAATAGCCTACATAATTATTATTAATAAGATAATTTGCGTACGCAAGCTAAATGAACCTTTATCGCTGCGCGCTAGTGTCCGTATTACTTTGCATATTTTCCTCTTTCTACATCACTGGGCTGTCAAGAAAGAATAAAAAATACAGTATGTATAACATTAATAATTTATTTAATTTACAATTGTTTTACTTAAAATATAATTTTTTGCCGTCTCCAAAATACCGGTTAACGCTCCCTTTCTTTTAAATTCTATCGTCAAATTGAAAAGAATTTGGCGAATCCGGGAACTCCCGGGTTCGATTTCTAACAGTGACAATTTGGAAGTATATAATTTCTTTAAAACTATTGTGTTAATTTTTATTTCAGTATACGGTTTAACAATAAAAACTGCAATGTTAGCCCGCTTTCATCTATGACTGCTTCATCACCATTCACCAGGCGCAATCGCAGTGAATACCAACTCAATACTCAAGAACAATTTGCATTACAATATAGGTATGAATAAGAATCACTAAAATCTTCAATTTCACGCTAATCTTCAATGGTGATTTGATTCCACATTTAATTAAGTAGAATATAGGAACAGGCAATAATATACGAACAGAAAAATAATATAGTGATATTGCACCATATTAAAACATATGTAAGTAGATACTTATTTAGCTTATAATATGTATTAATATATGCTAGTTGATCTACTATTTATGCACACTTCTATTTACGGATCTCCTTTACCAAGGCATAGAATAAATAATATGTAGTACTACGTTACCAAGGTTTACTGGAAGAGATTACTGTTTCGCGATGAGGCCACCTAATTGTACTTGAATTTATAAATTATGGTTGGTGTGTTATTGTAATATGTTGTGTCTAATAAAGAGTATAAATTAATTAATTAATTAATTGATACGTTGCGAAATAGTATGTAAAATAGGTAAGGTACCTATTCTGACTGATCGAATGGACATATTGTTACGAGCTTGAGATTCGTGACAATAAAAACTGCCGATTGAATTACCAAAATTTACACTTTAATTTTCTTTACACCAATTAAAATTTAAAACACTAAAAATAAATCACACTGATTCACTTTATTTCACTCCGAAGCTTCGCTTGTAAGCGGCTTTAAATACACATTTTCTACCGAAACATCCAGAATATTCCTGTAAATACGGGCGCCGAACGACCAGGCACAGAAACTTCGAGTGTGGGGGCTTCTAGAAAGCTTAACTCTGCTGTTCGACACTAGATGGCGCTGTTGGTTGAAAGATTAGTCATGGCATTTTCTGGAAAGCTCTCCTCGCTCTGTCACCCGACACTAGATGGCGCTAGTGCCAGACGTAAACTTAGCAATTCGCATATGCATATGCAAATTCTGTGCCTAAAGCATGCAACTTGCAAAGTCACTCGTCGCGAATCGCAATTTAATAAATCGCTTGGAAGAAATAGGTAGGTAGTGTAAAAAATAAACCCTAAATACGATTCCTAAATGAAATGTGATTGTATTCTAACTAGTTAAAAATCTTGTAAACAAAGTTTTAATTTCAGAGCTTTGTGATAACTTAAAATATTGAAGTAAATTTCAACTAAGTTTTGAAGTAAAGTACTTAGGTATTATTTCTGTATTTCAATTATTACTTAATTCTTTTTGGCTATAAGTATTTATTTAACCAAAAAATGGAATAATACATTTATTCCATTTTTTGGTATTTCATTATTCTTAGGTAACATAAAAATGTTATTAACTGAATACTTTTGTTTGCTCATTAAGCATCTATCCACGCAACAATTATAGTAGGTTCGAAGGTTTGCCATTATAATTTATCAAATAGATAGGTAATTATCTAAAGGCACGGCAGTGCTTCTTTTCCTTGAAGCAATTCAGGCAATTTTCGACCCCCTACTACTTCGTAGTGTATAAAACTAGAAGCCTAAATTTTCAGTAACCGAGTAGGCATAGTATAAACATGGTATATTTTCAATTTCATTCAATTTGAACCAGTAGTTTAAGAATTATAAGTAGTCAAAATTTCTTAATATTGTCACTCAATGACTGCCCGATCATCAAAACTCTAAGGCACTTCTAACAGACATAGAGGCTTAAAATTTAGAATACAATTAGAGTTGAGTGTAAATCAAGGAAAAACTAAAATATTTTTTAATTTCAGTTTAGTTTTCTAGATACACCAACTGCATAAATAACTTTGTAATCCTATATGAATATATAGAATTACAAAGTTACATTTGCTGTGAACGAATCAGTGTTCTTGTATATGTACAATAGGTGTAGACAAGTACGTTGTTAGTATTCAAAAAGTAGAAGGTACCGGAAATGAAGAAAACTAGGACTATCTTATCTACAAAAAGAAATGAGATGCCATAAAAAACATAATTTGTAAAAAAAAAAACAAGTCTCGCAACTCAGTTCTTCTACAGTAAAAAAGTTGTGAGATCCACGTAATACCAAGTCGGTTAATTTATTCAGTCCCTACTTAAGGGTCCTTCTGTTTTAAGTTATTATGTAAGCTAACCTAACAACATTTCATGGTGACCATACCAATGTTAAAAATCAAATGGCAATCATTAATCAATCTAATGTGTATTACTTTGGAGATCAAGTCAAT